CCATAAGTCTTTCTAAACATAGTTTATATTTTTATATTGAATTAGAAAAAATAATTTCAAAAAGTGTATATGTATATATGTCACGACCTGAGAGCACCCCCTAGTTGTAACACGGCGTACTCGACCTCGAAGAGGTCTATTACATGCCTCTTAGCATTCATAACATTCGATATAGAAAAGAGTACGGAATAAAAAAAAACTTTTTAATCCAAAAACATAAGACTCAAAGGTCAACATCTTTAAAAACAATCTTTATACACAAGCGGAAGACTAGTATCACATGGCCATCCTTAGACAAACATACAAGATAGAGTGTCTTGAACATAAAGAACTAGAAATATAGAATCCTTGTCCTCGAACATATGAGGACATACCAAAAGATCTTGAGAGAACTCTAATCCCAAGCTTCAACTCAAAGCCAACTCAATCACTTTCCCGCACCTACACTTGTAGAAAATAGAGAAAAGTATGGAGTTAGCACAATTAAGTACTAAGTATGATGACCATGCAAAAACATTCTATAAAGGGACATTTAGTTGAGATATATGCTCTAATGCCATTTTTTGGTAAAACCTTCATAATACAAGTTCAAGAGACACATTATAAGTCACCATCCACATTTAAGACAATATCCCTATCATAGACATGCTCAACTAGTACCAATATACACCACATAATCATATTAGTCAAATATGTCATTTCATCATCATAGAACCTCTATCCAAAGTTACCCTAAGACACACTTAAGTAAGGCATGAAGTGGCCGTCCATACAACCTCTTCAAGCACACCTAAGTGTTCCTCAAGGCTACCCTAGATAAGGACCTTTCTATTTCAACATAGTATCAATAAGTCAACACTATTTATTAAACCATTTTTGGAGACATTCATGCATTTAGGGGACTTTCACATATTAGTCATTAAGACTTAGGGAACTCACTTTAGCATCTTCAAAGCCTACTCGTTCCATGTGTAGATAGCATCCCATACTACTACCTACACATTGTAGAACCTATCCAATAACTAGAGTGCACATCCCACATGATGGGAATAGGCATTAACCGACATAGACCACACTAGCTAGGCATGGAATCCGGTGTCATAAGATCCCACACCGTGGATGGTGTTCTACTTGCCAAGGGTACAACTAGTACACATCCCATGTAGGCACATGGTTTAGGGGATATCCAAAGAATTTCATTGTGCCCTAACCTCATGCTCGGAGAGGGCCACCCTCTTAACCATATCCACTCGGTGCTTAGCCTTAGTTCCCATAGAGTAGTTTCATTTGCATATATGTATTGGAGAGGGCACCATCATTAGGTCTAGCCAACCCATAATACTTCTATCAGGAAGGGCACCACAAAGGATCTACCGATCAAGGTTCATTAAGTATAGCTCATTGACTTTCTTAGAGAGGGTTTTCTACTATTCCGGTCCACCAACTCTAAGTTTATCATTTCACACAAGAAGAAGGTCATCACCATAAGGTCCACCACTTCAAGGTTTCACATTCACTTGGGGGTCTAGACTTACTCATGAAAAGGGTACCATGCTTAGGTCTAGCCTATTCAAGATATAGCCTAGAATGCCTCTTTAGTCATTCATAGAAAGGGCACCATGCTTAGGTCTACCAATCTATGCTCAATTAGACACGTAAGTCAAAATATCACATTCAAGAAGAGGTACCTAAGTCTACCAAATCAAGAGACAACCTCACCATATAGAGACCTTTCATAGTCTAACATCATCACTTATGAACATTAAGAGAGATCACACTTTCAATCACAATGCTACACCCTTTACACAAGATCGCCTTGAGATTAAGAACACCTTCACATTACACATTCAATACATCATAACATAATAATACATCAATTCATTATGTAATGCCTTCAAGGCCATGCTCACAATACATTCAATAAGTAAACACCTCCACCATAAGTGGATCACACATCATTCTATCACAATGCTATATCAATTCTACATTAATAATAAAGTTAGGTCAAACTTACCCTTTTCCAAAGCCACAATCACCATTTCTCCATTCTCCAACAATTCACAATAGAAATATACAACTCAATCTAAACACAATAAGCAATAAACATTGAATCAACTATACAACTCAATCTAAACGCAATTTCATCAACATTGAATCATAAGCAAACAACCCACTTCATAAGCTAATTTTAGGGTTTTGTGGAAATCAAGGGCTCATAGAGTTTTTCATCCCAAAAACTTCAATCAAACATGAATAATATCACAGCTTGTCTTTTGAAATCATTTTCATGCAAGAACCCTTGAGTGGAGTAAGAAAGAGGCTTTTTCATAAACTTTGGAAAACTTAAAAACCATTTGAGATTTGTCTCTAGGGCGAAAACTAGCCCTAGATAAAGAGCCATCATACCTTATTATCAACAATTCCCAAGAAATTTGATGGAGGAAACCTTGAATTCGAAACCCTAGCTGCCCACACCTTCTTCTTCCTTGAGCTTGAGAGAAATATAGAGAGAGAAGAACTTTGGGGTTTTTTATTAGGGTCCTTGAAATAAGGAGTTAAAGGAAGGTTTTAAGACTTAAAACTATTTATATGTATCATATAAACCTTTTAAAATCAACCCCACACATTAAAACATTTACAAGAAATACCCAAAAGCCCCTAAATGAGGCAGCCCCGTCAGGGACCACGCCCACTTGGATGGGTCGTGAAGGGCACCACTTCTCGTGGTGGTGCACGTGGTCCCTTGACCAGTGGGCCTCTCCACCATGTCAAGCCCTCAAGGGCCCAAGGCATCTTCACGGAGGCTCCCACGATCTGTGGTGCACACCACAAGTCGTGGTGGAGCTCGTGAAGATGAGGCAACACCTAGGCAAAGTTGCCTTGCCTCCCTTGAGACCAAGTGATCTTCACGCCCAAGTATACAGACCATCCAGGGCACCACTGGTCGTGGTGGTGCCCGTGGTCTTTGGGGCAGTGAGTAGCCAACTTGGGACAGCCTTGGCTTTTTGGCTAATGCTTGCCCCTTTTGGCTTGGCTCCTTGTCTAGCACCCTCAACCAACCTAGAGTAGGTCTCATATCATGGAGTCTAACACGTGCCTTGACGTTGACTTCTTAGACCCTTCAAACAAGACTAGGGCAACATTACACCACTAAAACACATTAGCTCAAAAGAATAGTCTCCGAACGTCATGGTCGTCCCTTGACGTTCGACCTCAAAACTCTTCAAACTAAATCTTAAAAGCCAAAACTCTTCATTTTAACAAATAACCAACTTCCAAAACACATGCGAAGCTCTAGTTCATCCTATTTCATTTTAGGGTCATCACAATATATATATATATATATATATATATATATATATAATAGTTGAGGTAAAAAGTGAATTTCAATTTCTAAAATTGATAGAGTTTATATGAATTAACAAAATTAATTTAAAGTATTAAAAAATATTAAAGTAAAATAAAAAAATAAAACACGATTTGTTCAAATTTTAAAATTAAAAATTAAAAATCTTTTAAATTTGAAAATATGTTTAAAGGATAAGGATACTTTTTAATCTTAAACAGAAAAGGAGGGGGGGTGAGGGGGGTGAGGGGGTGTTAAGAAATATACATTAAGAAAAGGAACAAAAATACATTAACTAATTATAAATATGTGACTGAAATAACAACTCGATGAATCATTTTAAACAAAGTTTATATTGAATTAATAAATTTAATTTCAAATTTGAATAAAATAAATAAAAAACCAAACTGAAAAGAGATTTTGTTTAAATATCTCTTACTTTTTTCAATTCCAATAATAAAGGATCCTTAACTATTTTAAAAGAATAAAAATATGAAAAAATTAACTTTGAAGATTAAAAAAAACTAGATTCATCTAATATTATATAGTAAAAGAGATTAGTAAAAAAGAACATTTAGTCAATTAAAAAATTATTTAAAAAGTAATTTGATAATATAAAAAAAATAATATATATATATATATATATATATATATATATATATATAAAAAACAAAATATAAGTTAGCATTGCACTCTAGAATTATAAAAGAATAAGATATTCAAATTTAAGACGATGAAAATCTTACTACATAAATAATGTTATAGGGTTTAAATGTTAATAAATAAAATATATTAAAATTTATTGAACAATGAATGAACAAAAAATAAACATTTTTGAAAAAAATTCAAACAAAAATATTTTTGTTTAATTTCAAAAGCATTGAAAATTTTATATCATCCTTGGAGTATGAAAATTATTTAAATTTTAAAAGTAATAAGTAGTAGGCGAGGCAAGTTACATGACATTTTTAAAAATAGTACTACGAAAAATAAAATTAATAAAAATATAAATTTAAATCTAAATATTTTAAATAGAAAAAAAAAACAGAAAAATGACAATTGCATTTTATTTTATTTTTTTGCTAAAACGTAAAGAAAAAAAACGCTAATGAAGGGTATTTAACTACTTCAACTTTTAATCTTTATGTTTCTATTTTTCTATTATATAGAAGGGTGAAGACGACCAGGACGACCAAGGGCAATTCTGAAAAATTTGATATAATTGAAGGGCAAAATAGTAAATGACTGACTATAAGCGTAGAAGCATCTTTTAATTTTCAAATGTTTTTTAAAAAAGATAATAATTTCACTCCATGATATTTTCAATTTGGAGACTGAAATCGTCTCTTTCATTCTGGGAGCTTCCAGAGTTCTTCCATTGGAGGACACACATATATACTCTATAAACGTTCATTTCATTTTCCAAGAGAAGAGAGGAGTACTATGCCAATTCTCCTTAAATAAAAAGAATTTCTTGCAATTTAAGGTATGGTTTCTTTTCAATTTCCGCTCAAATCTTCTTCTCGAAATTTCTTAGTTGATGTTGTAGATTGGAATTTTGGGTTGAGAAAACCTGAAACTGAAATTTTGGGTTGAGGAGAAGTAGGATTTTCCTTGCTATTTTCTCAGTTGTTATTGATGTTGTTTTGCTAGCAGACAAACAAGGATTTCTTCCTAAGTTATTATAATCTCTTCAAATTTCAAGATACTATTTCAATTATCTTCATCTCCGCAGTTGAATGGTACATTTTCATGTATTTTTTCTTTCAACTTTTTTCATGTTTGTAGAGAGACGATTGATTTATCTTTTTTTTAAAAAAAATTCTTATATTCTAGATAATACTTTTTCAGTTCATTCAACTTCTTAGTTGGTGATCTACGGAAAAAAAAAACTTCTTAGTTGGTGATCTACGAAAAAAAAAAACTTCTTAGTTGGGTGTTGATTATTTCAGTTCTACTCCTCATTCAATATTTGTCCAACTTTTATTCTATTTTTTCTGTTAATCTGTATGAGGGCTTTGTTATCTTATCTAAATTGATTTTTGTAATTAGATAGAGTTAAGCATGCGGTAGAAGAGGTTAGTGTGGAAGTTGGAACTTTGAATTTACATTTCCATAAATTTAGCGATAAAATAAGTTACAAAGTGTCTATCTTGATTAATGAAAGAAAAATTCGAAGCAAGTACTAACTACTAAGTAGGAGAGCATTTGCTTAAGGGCAGAACATACCATTACATTGGATGTTTATTTTTTTTAATTCTTAACTTTTATATTGCATAATGAAACTAAATGAAGATTTTTCAAGCACATATGAAAATAGGTTACGATTGGATTGAATAGATCTGATCAAAGACTTAGACAACTCTAGATTATAATTTTTTTCTTAAAAAAATTTAAACAAGAAAAATAACAAGAAGGCTTCTTAATTGGTATATGTAGTTATCTTTTTCTTTTCTAATACAACAGCTGATGCTCATTTAATTTGTTATGATTTGCGGAGAGTAAAGAAGTTTGAATGATCATATATTGTGATGTGGTTTGTTAAGTGATGAAAATATTATGAACTTTTTTCACTCATTACATAGTAATGAAAAATGCTATTTAATATCATATAATTTTATCGAAATGACCGGTAAAGAGAGTGCTAATAGCTTTTTATGATTAATATCATCGAGGCAGTGTTGAGATTAATATTGACATATCACAAAGATAGGTAAGAATAATGTGGCTTAATTTTCTCTTTGTTCAATTTGTTTTATCGTATTACTACCACAACCATTTATGAATAAGATTCTCCTACTTGTAGAATTTCAAACAAATCATAAAGGAGTTGCAGGGAGCTATAATGATTTCTTCAGCTTTCCAAACAATTCTTGGATACAGTGGGTTGGTGCCAGTATAACTTTGGTAAGAAATTCTTGTCCGACATTTATATGTATTCTTCTCTGTTGGTATGCTATACTACAAATATATGCAATCATAATTATGCAACTAATATTTGAAACCTCATGGATGCTTATTGAGTAATCAATTTTGTTGCTTATTTGGTCTTTATATTATGACATATTGTTTCATGGCATTATTAGCTTGATTCTCAGTTAAGACATTTCTCTTCACTCTATTATACTGATCAAATTATACAAGTAGATATATTAGTACGACCTATGTACATTTTGTTTTTTTGTTATATAGGTATGCCCTACAGACATTCGCCAGTGCTAAAAATAGCAATATTATATGATGTTGGATTGTATTAGAGAAAATATGAATTTAGTTTTAATTATATAGAATGGAGTGTTCTTTTGTGTGCTAATCATCGACAACAATAACCTGTGCACAATTCATTAGTAGAGACCTTAAATTTACGACTTCCTTTTTATTACATTGTTTCTTCTCATGGTCATCCTTCCCTACATGAAATCCTTTTGATTTCCCCTTCTGTGTTGTGGTTTTCGTTCTAACATTCTTCAAGCTCTCGCAATAAGCTGTCAATGCTTCCTTATTGCCCATGTTATGCAACAAAATTACATCGAACTCTTCCGAATGAACTATGAATTTTGTATAAACTATAGCTTGCTTGCTATTTATTTCTTCTTCTAAAATCCTTTTCATCTCTATGAGGATTTTTTCTCCCTCTCGGGCTTATAAGTGAAGTCCCTCTCTCATCCCTTTTCTCTATTTGAGTTGCTGTTAAACCACTTTGTCCTTTTTTTCTCCTAAGGCAGCAACTAATTGATAACATTATTGCCCAAAAACTTATTATTATTAAGGAGGAATTCCCTTGCTTCTTCCACTCCTTCCCTAAAGTTTCAAATCGGGTGTCCATTGTTATATATATACGAAGAGGGCTTACAGGAGAGTCCAAGAACCCATCGACAAGATTATTTATGCTATTCGATGAACTAATCGAGGAGTAAGTAGCATTACAAACGGAAAGGCCTTGTTCATAGGAGGAATTATGATCATTGGAAATACTAACCAACTTTGGATCAATTAGGTAACCACTACTTTCAATGACAATTCAAGTAGTACATCATTCTTAGAAAATATGTTGAAGCCTTATTTTTATATTTTATAATTTTATTGTCATTAATGTCTTAGTCGCTCGGACTCTTCACATTTAGCGTCGCACCTATGTTGAGATGATGTGGGTGATCTGGTCAATCGATTTTGGGTACTTTGACCAAATTCAAGGGAGAAATTCTGGATAAATTCAAAAAAAAAATGTAATCAAAACAAAAACTAAGGTGAAATCTAGAGAATGAAATACCTTGTATAAATAAATTTCTATTGTCACTCCCTTTACATATAAATTTCTATTGTCACTCCAAGTTTTCCACATAATATCTCATAATTTAGGTTTTATTACTCTATTTGTATTATTATTAGTCAAATCCCTGCACCCGTATCCATACATGGATCAGTATCCCTGAATCTTAAAATTTAGATAATAGAATATCCGACCTATGGATCACACCTGTATCAAACACCCGCAATGTTCAAGCAACTTAGATTAATGTAACTAACTAAGTTGAATCAGATATATAGAGAAAAAAATTATATCTCTTCTTATTGTTCACTTGACACCTGTGATCAATTTAATCCAGTATATATTTTTAGCTTGTTATTGATTATTTCCTTGGAGGGATGAGTGGCTGATAGGTCTAGATGTGCTTCATGGAATTGTGTCTTGATGCATTTAATCTTATTAACATTGTAGTAGCTTAAATAGGTGGTCATTGATGCATTTTGTTTTCGTGTTTTGCAGGTTAAATGGGATGGAATAGGACATGAGCTTGCTCTCTCATCAGTATTTGTAGTGTTGTCTGTTTATCAGCGTACAAGATTTATGAATACATACTTTTCTGTGGAAGAGATATCAAGGTAATATGCTCTAACCTTAGTCTACTATGGACTTTTATCTGTTTTTGGTTGCTTGTTATAGTGGAAATTCCTTCATGTAGTTTTTGGCATTTTTTTGGGTTCTTTTCTGGTGGAGATCTTTATCTGATACTTACTTTTACCTAATTTAGCAAGCTTATAAAATAATAGCATGTGGTTTTATATACTTTCACCTACTCCGTTGTCTATTACGTTCTTCATGTTTTCTATTGGATATCTATCAAAATTGCGAAACTATATATACAAGGACCATTATTAGCTAATCAATCTTAACTTTAAGTGGTTGGTCTCCTGCTAGTGAGCATCACAGCAAAGGCAATCGCTTTCTTGAATAAATGTTATAATTTCTATATGGTAGGTACTAGCTGGGCTTTAAGTTATGCAAATTAAATTTCATGAAAACAAATCTGAGGTTCAATAAAATCCTATTTGCTTACCAAAATATTAATACTCCTACTTAAGCTTTAAGTAAATAGGAATATAATGTTAATATCCCAAATGCAGTGCTCTTTGTTTTTTCATCATCTTCTCGTGGTAAGAACATGGTTAATATTTTTTCTCTTACACTTTAGATTATTTATATGCTTAATTGGTAGTGTTTGGTGGAGCACTATTTGTTAAGGTGTTCATGATACTTAGTCACTTTGCCTATACATGTGTGTGTCTTTGCTTATTGAATAGCATCCAAATGCTGATACGGTCTATTTTTATTTATTTTTTGGTTAGGTTAGCTAAGTGTTGTATGATGCTATGCTACTGAATTAGGAGTTACAATTGCTTGACCTCTTCTCACTCTTGCTATATCTATTAGAATATAAAGCTTTTTGACATCTTCTTTATTACACGTTTTGTATTTTTTTTTCTCTAGAAACTTGTGTTTTCTGGTGCTTTTATCCTTAAGCTTGTTCAATATGATCAAATTAAATGCTTATTAGACACTGAAATATCAATGTTCATCCAGAAGTTGTGCATGCAATTTTTTCTCTTCTTGATCAGATTGAAGAACTGCGAGGTTTAGATTGATACTTCTCTAATTGTAAATTAATGAAAGGATTATACTATGTTGAAACCTAATCTCGCCATATAGTAACTGTATTTGGGTTCTAAGTATTTTCGAGTTTCATTAGTCACTTTACTCCTCCCGTCTGTTTGCACCATTTGATGAAGTTTTGTACCCCTTTATTTCTTTGACAGTTTAAATTCTAGCCTAAGTCTTGAGTACTTCATGTGACAAAGAAGATGAGATTATTACTGATTCATCTTCATTCTAAGTCTAGAGTACTTCCTGTGACAAAGAAGACGAGGTTATTACCAATTCATCTTCATTTCAATTTTCATATGAACTATTTCTGGAGTGTATGTTTATGTGCTTTTTTTATTTTATTCCTCTCAGTCACCTGCACTTCTTACCTCCATAGAATTTTTTGTTGGAGTGGTGCTTTGTCTTCTTTGTTGCTTGTTGCATTTTAGGCTGAAACTTGATGGAAAGATGAAACAATCTTTGTCTGAAACTATTAAATTGGCTATGCATTAACAGAAGCAGCACAGGGTGGACTGAAGAGATGGATTGGGCTATAGTACATGCCACAAGTAAAGCAATGCAAGCTGAAGTATATAGAATGAACCTATCAGGTGCAATGTATTTTATTTGGCAAGAGAGGAACTGTAGAATTTTTCAGCATAAGGAGATGACCACAGAGGTGATCATCAGAAACATCATACGAGAAATCCATTGCAGAGGGACTGGCTGAATTTATGCTTAGATTTAATTTTTATCTATAGTATAGTAGAGGGACTGGCTGAATTTATGCTTAGATTTAATTTTTATCTATAGTATAGTAGAATAGTGGTTATTTATTTAAGGTAGATGAGCTTTGAGATTGGGATTATGTCCATGTCTTGAGTTTCAAATCCGTACATATTGACATATTTGGTAATAAAAATTACAGTTACCAAAAAGTATTTGTCTGAATTTAACATGATTTTTTTACCATTCATTGATCTTTTAAATTTGAACCTTGACTTTCTAGAATTATTGAAATTAGACATTTCATCCTCATTTCAAATGTAACAAGTGATTTTGATCAAAGACGATCCAGAAGTAAGTTGTGATGTAACAAGTGATTTTGATCAAAGACGGTTCAGAAGTAAGTGATCACAGCTGAAAGATGCATCTATTATTGTCTGATTTATAAATACTATATGAATGTAATTAGTACTCCTATATATATGTTCAACATATAAGGCCTATATTATGACATTCACGTGAATAAGGGGTCGTTTTTGTTAGGAAGGATAACATCAAATAGTCTTCGCTATTCTTTATTTTTATGACAATTCTTCATATTATTCTATTAAAAATTACACTATATAAATATAATTTAAAATTATTTTATGATAATTCTTCATATTTTACAATTAAAAAATTGCACTATAAAAATATAATTAAAATATTATATTATAAATATAGTGTAATTTTTATGTTTATTTATATTTTGATTTTCATAAATTCTCTTTTACTTTAACAAACTAAGATGAAAATTCTATGTTTAGTACATAAGAACAAGAATTTATTTTCAAATATATATGGTAGCATCATGGGAATGCGCACAAATAATTTGAAAGTTTAATTTTTAAAAATGCATAACTAAAACTTGTAAAGAACATATAAAAAAAAACTAAATAAAATGAATGGTATTTTTTTATAAACAAATAATTTGTTCTTAAAATTTACGCAATGCATATTATTTTGTATACAATAAACCAAACAAGCAATAAGAAATAATCGCAACATAACTTATCCCATCATGATTACTCTCATTATAACTTGTATTTTTTTTATAAAAAAAAATCGACCCCTAAATAACATATTTGGCAGCTATATTATATTCAAGATAGTAATATTGTTATTTATTGAAATGTAGTTTTATTTAATACGCAACAAATAATATGTAATGGTGTTTCTATGGAATTTGATCATTTATACTCTACAATATTATGCCCCTAATAATACTAAGCGTTGGGCCCGTGATAGCATGGGCAAAACTTATCTAGTCTATTATATATATTTCTATTATATAGAAAGGTAAAGCCGACCAGACGACCAAGGGCAATTCTGAAAATTTTGATATAATTGAAGGGCAAAATAGTAAATGCCTGGCTATATGCCTAGAAGCATCTACTGAACAACCCAGAAAAGGACTTATTTCTAGAAACATCCATAGCTCGTCCACCTCTCAAAAATGGTCTCTTACTCTTCATAGCGGATTACACTTCAGGTTTGCCTAATTCTTCATTCGTTTTTTCCTTCAGTTCATCTCAAAAACTTTATTCTTTATCCAAAATTCAGGTTTGCCCAATTCAAGACTTAGTAATAAAATGATAAATATAGAAATATTCATATGTAGCCGCTTCTTCTTGCTTTCTTTGTTCAATTATCATAGTTTTTTCATTTGAGATTTAGAAAAGTGAAAACCTAAAATGGAGATAAAGTTTATTTTTTGTTTATGAAATATCAAAATTAGAGTACATCCTTTACCTGAATGGAGATTAAGTTTTTTACCATGAAAAATCGAAATTATAGCATATCACTTTGCTAATTTGTTGTTATTTGGGGGAATTCGTTGATGGAGCAGGAGCTTAAAGAAAGATCGTCATCATATTATAGTGTTCTTACTTCTTAGTGTTAATGTAGACCCTTTTGAAAGCGGAAAATAAAAAGCTAGCAAGGGTGTGATGGAGTTTACATTTTGTCCTAATTGTATTCTAATTATGAGAATAGTTTTGTTGTGTGTTTGGATTTGGTTGCTAACTAAATTAGAGTACATCCTTCTGCCAATACATCCTATTAGCTAAATTATTGTTATTTGAATTTGTTGATGGGTCTGGGGAGGGTAGTGTTTGATTAGACTTACTCCTACCTTATGAGGGAATGGACTTAAAGACAAAATCTATGAACTATTAGCTTTAGAGTTGGTCACGCTAAGCTAATTTGTGCGGACAAGAGAAGTAGCAAAGAGAGTTTTATAATCACATACTTGACTTGGTACAGATCATGAAAATTCTCAATATATGTAGCATTTTAATAAGAGATAATGAAGTAAATATGATGCAGTTTGAGCTTTATTTGAGTTGTTAGATATTTATGGACTATAATTTTCTAAAGACAAATTGTAAGTTCAAACTTGAAGTAAATATGAATTATGAAAGATTTTTCTGGCATCTACAGTCACAAGTTGAATCAATAACTTTTCTCTATAGAGTTGTAACATTCCAAGTTTTATCCCATTTGGAGGGAATATGAAGAATAAATCTTACTTGAAAGTGTATAAATGCTTCTTCATTATTCACAAATAATCTACAATTTGAAATGCTAATTATATTGCAACTAAAAATTTGACCAACTTCATAAACTTCTTGAACTGACAACTTAAGTTTACTCCTTTAATCAAGTAATTTTTTTTTTGATGATAAGGAAACCCGCAGCCACTACCCTTTGGGTGCACAAGGTAAAACCCCCGCTCCTATGCAATAGCTCGCAATCAAGTAATTTAAAAAATAAAATATAAAAAAAATCTCAAAGTTATTGATACAGGTTTGCTGATGTTGAGTTAAAGTGCTTGCAAATGACCATATATAGCATGTATACACGTAGTTGTTTTTTCACTCGAATGGTCGATTTGTTCTATGGATTAGCCATGAAATACTCGTATTTGGGTGCTTTAAATCTCATAGTTCGTCTTCACGAGCTCACTTGAATGTTTGTAGGGTATGGAATTCTGAATAATATTTGGAGTGGTGAGAAAACAGATTCATTAGCTAGATTATGCATGTGATAACCAGGAATTAGATCATAGTTCGTCTTCACGAGCTCACTTGAATGTTTGGAAGGTTCAAATTTCAGTAGAGTTAGATCAAAATAGTGTAGATATTTTTTTTGCCTATTTGCTTAAGGTTGGTGAGTAGAGTTACCAAATACTTGTGCTGGTTCATTGTCTAGGTTAATGTAAGGTGGCTTGGACACAATTAGATAATGCTCTGAAATATTCTGTCATATCTTCCAACTCCCCATGCATTCAGATTTCTCGTAAGAATAATATTATGTGAGTTATTGCTTCAGTTCTGAGCTACAGTCCTATCCCGTCCTATTGAAGAATGAGAGAATGCTCAGATCAATTAGGTGTTATTTAGAGTGGTGAGAAAATAATTCCTTAGCTAGATTATGTGATAACCAGGAATTAGATCATAGTTCGTCTTCACGAGCTCACTTGAATGTTTGGAAGGTTCAAATTCCAGTAGAGTTTGAAATATTTTTTTCCCTGTTTGCTTAAGGTTGGTGAGTATAGTTACCAAATACTTGTGTTGGTTCATTGTCTAGGTTAATGTAAGGTGGCTTGGACAGTGACAATTAGATAACACTCTGAAATATTCCGTCATATCTTCTAACACCGCAGACATTCAGATTTCTCGTAAGAATAATAGTATGTGAGTTATTGCTTCTGTTCTGAGCTACAGCCATATTCCGTCCTATTGAAGATTGAGAGAGTGACCGGATCAATTAGGTGTCTAGCAACTAGATATGTAGGAGGGGCATTGTAAACTTCAAGGTCGATTAGTCCTATGCTAAAATAGTTGAACAATAATTCCCTTTATATACTTTGATAAACAATAACTTTCCTTCTAAAATTTAGGAAATGAAGTTTCAGAATTTCAAGTTGAACTGCTCCAATGGATCTAAAATTTAAATGACAAGTAGACCAAGTTTTTTCACAAACTACAGGACTAAAATTAAATCTAATAGATTTTATAAGCAACAAGTAAGTGTCGGCATCCCTTTTTAATTTTTCTCCCTATTTTCTTTCGCCTTCCCCAAACTTTAGACTATCATATTTCAGATCTTTAGCTATTAGCATAGTGATTATACTACTAATAGCCTTATTTTCATTAATTCCCCAATCTTCAGAATAGTTTGGTTACAAACAAGTCAACCTCTAAACCTGAAGGTTATGCTTTCATTTAGTATGTCCGTACATGAAAAGTTTGTCTTACTTGATCTCTTATTTCTCTGTCATTTGTTTTCTACAAACCCTTTAATGTAACTTCAGCCGACAAAATAGAGTGCTTCTTTATATTAAACGTGAGAAAATCGTGCCGAGTTGGCATTCGTGCCGAGTTGGCATTCGTGCAGACTTAGAGTGGACTTGAAACAACATGAGTGGGAAATGAAGTAGTTAATTAGACGTTGAAATTCTAAGACCTTTTGTAGTGTTAGCTGTGTGCACATTGCCAAAAGGACTCTGAACATAGCTATACTACAATACATTATTAGTTGCATTGGTCCATAGAGTCGAAATTGCAATACATATGTAGCTTCTTCTCTGCTTAAGTTGATTTTGGTTTTGATGTCATTGCACATAAAAAATTATTATTATTATTTTTTATTTTTTTAAAATTATTTGAGATTATTGTGCATGTGTTATAAGATGCTTGTCGTGACTACTTTAGAACTTTGGTTTATCTTTTGGGGTATAAAAGATGTTGTGGTCTAGCTTATTATATATATGTCTTTTATTTTATCTCAAAGAGCTTTATTTTCCTAACCACTGTATGAACTCTGTCTATAGTTTGAAATTGTAATCGTTTTGAATTAAATACTA